TTTCTGGCCTCTCATCAGGTGCCCGGTGCCCCACATCTCCCCCTGTCTCTCCTTTCCTATCTCGCCTCCCCCAGCAGATCGCCCTCTCCTGCCAACATCTCCAATGCCCCCTCCTGGAACCCTTCCATCAGCAGAAGGAGCTGTCCCTCTGCTTCGGCTAGTCCCCACCCCCTGCCCCACAATGCCCTAGCCAATCACATCCTCGCCCGCGCCCCCCCCGCAATGGATGACAATTGTGGGTCCCCAGCCTGCCAGCTCATCATCAGCCCCACTCAGTCAATTTGAGCACCTCCTGGTGGTTCAGCAGGGAGTGGAACTTACTTCCACCCCCTGCTGCCCTGCTGATTGGCAGCCAGCGGGGCTGGGGGGAGCAGCCAGCAACTGATTGTTTGCTCCTGGGCAGGGAAGGCTTTGTGGGGGCAGACTAAAGACCCAGGGACTCAGGGGGCTTTGACACAGAGGATGCTCTGAGTCAGGAACCTGGCCAGAATCCTGTCTGGCTGCCAGCCCTGGTAGAAAAATGGATGAGCCCCTTTGCAGAATATCCCCAGGTAGGGGGAAGAGAGGAGGTGTATCTTCTGCAGAATTGAGGCCAGTGGTCCCGGGGAACCTCAGGTCTCAAGGCTCTGCAGGAAGCCTGACTGCAGTGCACCCTGAGACAGGCAGTTCCCTGCCCCAGGATGAAATCAAGGACAAAGGAAGGCATTTAGCAACCAGCCTGTGGGGTCTCCTGGCAGAGCCTGTCAAAATGGCCTTCCCTTGACAAGAGCAAGAATTGGGGAGGCCTTGGCTCACATAGAGTTAATTGAAATATCTGTATTTTATAAAATATCCATATATCTGTATCTATATCTGTGCCTGTGGGCCACTGTAAAGCACAGCCATTATGAAGCATCTCCTTCCCAGCCTCATCAGACTGGGTTTCTTAATTCAGGCAGGAGAAAAGTGACTCGGGAAACGAGTGCCTGTGAATATCGCCCAGCCTTACAGTTCAAAGAAAAACCCAGCCAAAAATCTCTCCTGGAGATTTGCTTCATTTCCTTCAGTGAGAACTCTGACATTTGGCTCGGGAAGCCGGAATTTGAACAGAAAATACTGTCTGGAGAAGTTGTATCAAAAGCTTTAGAGTCCCCCCTCCCGCCCCCCCCCCGGGGTGGGGGTGTCCCGGGGCTGTGGGGACTTGGCCAGAGCCATCCCGCAAGTCAGTAGAAAACGTGTAATGAGAGGCTCAGGTTTCTAACAATAAGTTCATGTTGTTCTTTCCGAATCTCTCCAGAGATTCTTTTTTTTTAAATTTTGTTTCCTTTGTTTTCATCAGTATCTGCTGGTTCAATTTCTTAGATCAAGCTATTTTGGAGTTTCCACATCTAAAGCTTTCCAACTTTTGAAAGTGAAGAGCATCACTCAAAAGCATCTAAGTGCTTTCTTCCAGCACTATAGGTGCATATAAATAAATAAACAGAACTGGCCCCGCAGCTACAATATATATGAAAAAACCGGGTCCCCGGAGGTTCTTCAGAGCGCTAAGGGGACATGAAAACAGAGGCCAAAAAATAAACGAACGAGCAAAACAGAAAGACTCATAGACACGGAGAGTGGATTGGTGGTTGCCAGAAGGGAGGGGGTTTGAAGGACTGGGTGAAAAAGGTGAAGGAATGAAGGAGTACACACTGGTGGCTACAGAACAGTCACGGGGATGTAAAGTACACCCGAGGGAGTGTAATAATAAAATTGTAATGCCTACGTATGGGACAGGAGGGTACTGGAAACACCGGGGGAACGCTTTGTAAATATATGATTCTCTAACCACTCTGCTGCACACCTGAAAATAATACAAAATAGTACTGACTGTAAACTGTAGTTGACAAATAAAATGAAAATAAATAAATAAAGCCCCCTCATGTGGGCTTTCAAAATATGTAATTAGTATTAACAGCATTTATTTTTTTTACATTTACAACAGGGTAGAAAAGACAGACTATCACACCATAGTAAAAATCAGCATCTCCCCAAATAAATGCATAGAAAAAAATATGAGACATAAGCTAAAATACTTGTAGCAATTTTCCTAGGTCACAGGAGATTTTATTGTCATCTTTCTACAGCAAAGCAAATAAACCTCCATTTAATTAAAAAAAGAGAAAGAAAATAAAGGCTAAAACCGTGTGTTAATGCTTAGTTGGAGGTGGGAAATGGCAGGCAAGGGCCCCTGGTTTTAAACTGGTTCTGTGCACGTGGACTGTCAGATGAAGCATCGAACGCACTGCTTTCATCAGATGTAAGGAGAGCCAGTCAGCAGTTGCATTATTTTTTTTAGTTTTATTTTTTTGAAAAACGTTAACCAGCACCATCATGAGCTGTGTTTTTGTCAGCCTGGGCTGCTGTGGATGACGTATCTAGAGGCCTTCTTCTATAGGGGCCTAAGAGCTTAAATGGTATTTCATTATTATTATTACTCAATGTCAGGCTCCATAAATGAAAAGAGATAAAAAAGATCGCTCGCAGCAACACTGCCTTGGTTTGCGATCTCATCACATCTCACAAGCGAAGCAGGTTTGAGCTGGCAGGTGGGGCATGAAACCTCTAAGGAAAACCCCAGCAACTGGAGATGTTTCAACTGAGTGGGAAGTTCCTCCACACGCCGGGGAGGGAAGAGGCCTGCCACACTTTGATTTTCCTCCCCGATTTTATTCTAAAACACCTTAAACTCCGGCTAACTTACTTCAGAGACAGGAAGCAGATAGGAGAAACAGCATCCCACAGAGCTGTCTTAAAGGGACATGGCCTCTAATGGAAGATTCCTCAGCTCCCAACAGCTTGCGGATGGCCTGTCCTGCTGCCTGAAATGCGTGTCAGTGAATGCTCCCGAGGAGCAGCAGCACTGAAAGCCTCCGCTGAACATGGTAACGGGAAGGGGCAGGATGCTTTCCCACCTGAACGCCAGCCGAGAGCAAGGCACAGACCAGGAGGCAGCGGAAGGCAGATGGGCCAAGTTATGTCCACTCTTCCCACAGTCTATTTCATCGACAGGTCAGAATGCAACCAGATGGTTTGCCAGAGGGCAATATATTGGCAGACAGTACCTGCTTCCTAGCATGAGACATCGGGCTGTTAGGAGCATGAGCTCGGCACTGAGTTAACCCTAGACGTTCAGCTCGGGGATGACCTTCCTTCCACCTCCTCGAATTAAAAGAATAGGCGAGGTGGCCCGGCATGGGCAGGAGGCCGGAAGCCTTCGCTGCATTCTAGCCCCTTCTTTTTCTCTTTTTATTCCCTAGAGCAAAACCTCGACAGTAAGCTTTGCAAACCCTCACGTCCCAGGACAGGGACTGCGGTCTGCAATGTTATTGGACCCGGGATGAATATAGGATTCGTGTACAGCAGGCTCAGAATAAATGTGCTGACTAGCAGTCTCACAGTCGCTGGCCTGCCAGAATCTGTTGTAGAATCGTAGGGTCAGTCGTCAGAGGAGGACCCAAAAGGTCATGATGCCAGGGGCCATCGCTTTTTAAGGGCTGCCAGGGAGAGTTAAGGCCACCCAGGCTCTTCCGCGCTCCTGCCGCCAATAGTAAACCCTTCCAAAGGTTAGTGGCCTAAAGCCAACACAGTTCATGTGGCACGTGACCTGCGGGGCAGCAAATGGGGCAGAGCTCAGTGGGGTAGTTCTTCTGTGGTCTCCTCCGTGGCCGCTGAGGGTCAGTGGCCTCATTCACATAGGGGGCAGTTGAGTGGTTGTCAGCCAGGAATCCCTGGTAGTCCAGCAAGCTTTTCTGGGCTTGTTTCTCTGCTGGGGATCACGGACGCCCATGATAAGCGGGAATAAGCCTGACTGCACAAGCGCGTTACTGGCTTCTTCGCGGAGCACGTTTCCAAACGTTGCGTCAGCCAGAGAGAGTCACGCGTGGCTGAGCCGAGGGTCAAAGTCATAGGCGAGGGCTGGGACTCGGGCAGGGACTCGGGCAGGAAATTATTCACGCCATTTTGCAAACAGTCTACCATGTCAACAAAACTAGGCCAACGGCAGAATCCAATCTTTCCAAATCCCAGGGGCGCTACTTCATTCGCAGATCTCCAGCATGCTGAAGAGGGCCTCTTGGAGCCGGACACCCGAGTCGAGTCTGTGTTTCCCCATCTGATGCATGGGGATAACCCCCACCTCACAGGGTGGATTCAGGATCAACACGGCCTAGAAATAACAAGCAAACACTGGCCGGGCCACTTTACACCTGAGCGTGGGTTCACAGCTCAACCGCCCTGCGCGTCTGGACAGGCGAGTGCTTCTGCAGCTCGGAAAGCTCACGGTTAGCGCCGGTCCACGGGAGGGTTTTAGGCGGCACAAGAAAAGCGCCTTGACTGACATCAACTCCTGTGCGACTCGCCTGCCCCCTGTCATTCTCTTTCGGTCCTTCCTCTTGGAAGTCGCAGGTCCATGCTGGTGCCCCGTCTTTAAGGCCTCTCCTGTCTTTAACGCCTCTCCTGTCACGTGTGAAGCACCGCACTCAGCTGTTGGACCTGCTTAGAATTCAGTAACATTTTATTTGTAATTGTTTCCATTCTTTTTGTTTGGACAGTTGATCATTTAAGAAATAAATATACATAAACCTTAGTAGCTGGAAAAACGATGTTAAATGTCTAACACGTGGTTCCTTTATTCAGGTGTTCAACAGCTCTGCGCAGAGCACCTGCCCCGTGCCAGGCCCCAGTGGGGCTTCCCGTCTGCTGGTCCGAGACCTGATGGCGGTCAGGAAAGGGCTGGATTTGGGGATACAGGCTTCTTGCGGGGGGGGGGCGGGGGGGGCGGGGGGGGGACGACACAGGTGCCCGCCCTGCCTGCCTCCGGTCCTGCAGAGCTGCAACGCTGGGGTCAGGGGTCACCTCCGGGCTGAGACCCGCCGCCCCTTCCCTACGAGTCTGGGCGGGGGCCAGGGCGGTCGTCGAAGCCCGGGGCTGCGCGGAGGGTGGGGGTGGGGGTGGGGAGGCCAGGCCGGCGGGGCTGTGGCTGCGGGCCCGGGCCGCGGCTCCTCCTCCCCTTCCTCCCGAGGCTGACGTGGAGGCGACAGCGCGGGCGGCTGCGGGAGGCGGTGGAGCGGCGGCGGCTCGGAGGCTCCAGGCCCTGGCGGGGCCGGGTGGCTGCCACGGCGGCCACGCAGCAGGAGGCGGAGGCGGAGGAGGGTGGTGTCCCTGCCGCCCGCCCGCGCTTGCAGGAGGAGGCCATGAACGGCGACAGGACCGAGAGCGACTGGCAGGGGCTGGTGAGCGAGGTGAGGCCAAGGCGCCGGCCAGGCGGGATGCACCGGACCGAGCGCCCGCCAGCCCCGGGCCCCGCTCCCCGGGTGGCCGAGCCGGGGCAGGGACGCGCGGGAGGGGGACGCGCACCCGGTGGCCACGGCAGCCTAGCCCCGCGCGACCTGCCAGGTGCGCTGTTCCTCCCGCACTTCCCGGTCTATCCCGGTGCCACTTTCTTCCACGCCATCTGGTGACAGCCGTTGGGGAGGGGCCTTCCCTGCGGCAGAGCTTGGCCCTGGATTGGAGAGAGAGAGAAGCCCGGGATCCGGGAGGCGTTGGAGCCAAGCCCCACCTGCCTCCTAGTCACCACTGTTTAGGAGCCAAGCGATTGGACGCCCAGTGCTGAAGCGGAAAGGTGGTGCCAGGGGGAAATCCGGGCCCTGGGGTAACTCCCGGGCGGAGCGTTGTTATACCTGCAGCGCAGCAGAGGTTTGGGTGGGGGAGTTCAGGCTCCTCCCGGGCCTTCATTCATTCACAATTAAACAACTCGTGTGTGCTGTCGGCCCATTAAATGAAACACAGGTGCAAATTCATTCGATTTGTGGAAGCAGAGAACACCATGCCCTCCAATTTGGTCGTAAACACCCCTGGGTCCGTAGTGTTGGACCCCCGAGCTGTTTCCTCTTCAGTCCACCCCGAGAGCTCTTGTCTTGGGAGGGACTGCCTGACTCCTCCAGGTGGGGGGGTTTGCCCACGTGCCCTTCTCCCAGGTAAGTTGCCTGGCTTACTGCCATTTGCGAGGGCAGTTACCTACGTCACCCAGCCAAGCTGACCACCCACCAGAAATTCTCCTTTCTTTCCCCTCTGAGAATTACCTTCCATCCCCAAGGCCCACGTGGGGCTTCTGTCCCTTTAATCCTGAGCACACACACAGAGTGTAACGGTTTGCTCTGTTCCTTCCCTTGTGGGGAGTCAGAAGGGAAACCCTGCGATGACTTTCTCTTCCCCACATGTTTCTGGGCCTCCAGGGCAGACTCATAACATGTATGCAAAGCATTGCATTTCTGAGGAGGAATGAGATGTCATAGCTTCTCCTGCAGTTTAATTTTACTCTTGGTCTAGTAGTCGAAAGCTCCTAACTCTATCTACGAGAGTATTATGAGACATTTTTATTGCACCCTGCCCCCATCTCCCCTAACATTCAAGCTTTATGCTAAGGAACAGATTCTCTGGGCATCTCTTCTCCAGGCCCATCCAGAATCATACCCAGCAGGCCCAGAGGCTGGAGGTGGTTCTTCACATTAGTCGGGTGTTGGACTCTGAATTAGCAGCAGCATATTCAGCACGCCCACAAATACTTATCAGATGCCTGTTAGGAGTCAGGTACATTGCCAAGTCCTTGGGACTCTGGCGAGGAGAGAACTCTTTCTGCCACCAAAGGACTCCTGGAGCATATGGTACAGTTTGGGAGGGGCCTTCCCACACACTACCAATACTAAGCTAGTACAACAGAGCGGAGTGTGAAGGATGGCAAACCAAAGGAAGGAGATGCGCTGTATTGTAATCAAGCGGTCTCCCCGCTAGGCTGTGTGTTTTCTTCGACTTCCTTCCAGAGGTCTCCACACTGAGCACCACACACGGCAGGTGCTCAGAAAATGCTTGCAGAATGAAGTTGCGATCCAGGGCTTAGCTTGCCTAACCCAGCTGCGTCTCTCCAGTGATGCCTCCTTGCCTTCCACAGACATTCATTAGAGGCCCAAGATGCAGAAGGCACACAGCAAGGGGTTAGCTAGGGGGTGTGGAAATGAATGCAACAGGCTTCCTGCCCTCACAATAGCTAATTGCTACTTCTTGTGTCCATCTTTGATGTTAAGCATTTTATGTGGCCTCATTCTCATAGTGGTATAAAGGAGAAATTATTTCTTATTTTACAGGTAAGGAGACTGGGGCTCAGAGAGTCTAAGGACCTTGCTCAGAACCTCACAGCTGAGGGGCAGAGTTGGAACCCCGGTCTGTCTGACTTCAGAGATTGTGGTCACTAGGCCACACTTTATGCATTTTATTTTGCTTTGTTTTGTTTTATTTTTCCTCACCTGAGGACATTTTTTCACTGCTTTCTAGAGAGAGGAAGGGGAAGAGAGAAACATTGGTGGGTTGCCTCCCATACATGCCTGGACCAGGGATCAAACCCACAAACTAGGTATGTGCCCTGACTGGGAATTAAACACTCAATCTTTTGGGCATGGGTCAATGCTCCAACCAACTGAGCCACACCAGCCAGGGCACACACTTTGTATTTTACTCATCTGTTCATCGGTGTGTATCTTCCACCAGGCAGTAGGTTCTCCAAGGCAGGGGACCATGTCTTGTTCCTTTCTCAATCCTCAGCACCTGGATTAAATGTTTCTCAGAGTGTGATCCACAGAATACCTGCACCAGAGATTTTAGGAGCCAAGAGAGCAAAGGATCACTTTGCATTTTGGGGGAAAATGCAAAATTTTGAGTGTCATCACAAGTCTACTGTGATGAATTGAAATCTCCCTCCCACCCTTCCATAGATCCATCTACCTAACGCCCCTTCCCCCACCCTCATGAGTGTGAACTTATTGGGAAATAGGGTCTTTGCAGATATGGTCAAGTTTAGAATCTCCTAAAGTTTGGATATCATCCTAGGTTTAGGGTAGGTCCCAAACCTGAGTGGTGTCCTTATAAGAGAGGCTAGAGCTGAGGCAAAAGGGGAAAGGCTATGAGAAGACAGAGACACCCTCAGGGGAAGGTCATATGCAGGTGGAGGCAGCAATGGGAGTTAGGCAGCCACAAGCCGAGGAAGGAAGACCAGGGCTGGCCAGCAGCTGCCAGAAGCTGGCAGAGGCCTGGGCCACACTCTGCCCCAGAGCCTCCAGAAGGAACCCACCCTGCTGTCACATTGCATTTGGACTTCTGGCCTCCCCAGCTGTGAGAGAATAAACTTCTGTGTTTTAAGCCACCCAGGTTATGGTAATTTGTGATGGCAGCCACGGGAAACTAATACACCCGGGGCATGGAAGTGCCTGTGGATATAGCCCCAAATCTGCCTTTTCCACAAGCTGAGCCACCCAGGTGAGTCCCCTGTCCACTCAAGTTCAGCTGGCCAGGCGTGGACTGGGCCGGGCATGGAGGATTGGCTGGTTCTCAGCTGGGTAGGGTTTAAAGAAAAATGCAGTCCGTGGCCAGTGGTGTTTCAAAATGATTTTGGCCCCCAGCCAGAGGAACTGGGGAGGAGGCCACCAGACATCTGATCTGGGCCAAGTGGCCTTTTTGCCACGCATCTGCTTCTGTAAAAGTCCCGGTCTCGTCTGCCTCCCCTGCGGTCCGCACGCCGGTGCCCTGCCCCCCCACCCCCCCCCAGGGCCCTGCGCTCGCTTTCCATCAGTGTGCTTCCTCGGCTTGCCTCTAGGAAGCAGTTTTCATTTCAAATGATTCTACAGAGATCAGTTTTATTTTCATACTTTTAGTATAACAAGCTGAAATTACAGTCTTCTCTCAGGCCCTGGAGTAAACACAGCCAGGCCTACGAAAGAGGCATGGCTGGTATTCTACTTGGAAAATTAAATGTCTGGGGAGGGGGGAAATGTTCTTCTTCTCACCCCCTGAGGTGATCTTTCAAAATCAGGGGAAAGTCTGGAAATACAGCTGCGCGAACAATCAATAACTTTTTATTTCCAAGATAAAAATCCTGGTCATCGCCCAGCCCACTGGCCTATGATAAACCATGCCTAATTCAATCATTGATGAATTAATTAGATAGCAGTCACTCTCGTATGCCTTGAATGCGTTGTGTGCAGTGGCTGTGAGACAGATAGAAGAGTCAACTCTGGGCATCTCCCCCAGTACAGCCACTGACTTTGGGAAGAGAGGGGTCGAAGAGGCGTATAGTCCGGCCCTGTGGTTAAGGGCACAGCTCTGGGTCTTGACTGCTGATGGAGATCTGGGGGTGACTCCTGGCCCTACCTCTTTCTTGATGCAAATGATCAAAAACCCAACCCACCCAACTCTGAAGGTGATTCCTTCAGATCAGGAAGAATGTATTGGCTGATGTTGTGGGTTGAACTGTGTCCCCAAAAAGATATGTTCAAGTCCTACCTCCCTGTACCTATGAAAGTCACCTTATTTGGAAATAGAATCTCTGAAGACGTAATCAAGTTAAGGTGAGGTCATTAGAGGGGGCTCCTCATGCAGTGGCCCACATTCTTGTAATAAGAAGAGGGGAATTGGGACACAAAGATGCACCAAAAGAAGAAAAGGTGAAGTCATAGAGGAAAGAAAGCTATGTGGGGACAGAGGCAGGACGGTGGTTACACAGCTCAAAGCCAAGAATATGCCAAGATCGCCGGCCACTGCCAGAAACCGGAAGAGGCCAGGAAGGGTCCTCATCTGGAGGTATTTTAGGGAGCATGGCCCTGCTGACACCTTGATTTGGACTTCCTAGTCCCAAGAATGTCGGAGAATGAGCTTCTGTCATTTGAGGACGCCAGTTTATGGCAATTTGTTGTGGCAGCCTTAGCAAACTAATACAGCTGACACGACTAATGATTCTAAGAGAGGGGCCACTAGAGCACAGCGGGATCCAGTGCTCAAACAGATGTTTTCTCTCCATCTTTGGGTCTGTTTGCTACCTGCCTTCAGTCTCAGCCTCCCATCCTCTCAAGTTCATGACCAGAGGAGAAGTCAGACACTCTTATGTAGTCCATAAAATCCCATGAGGCACCACTTTTGAACTTCTCTGGGAGGAATCACTCAGGAGAGTAGTGATATGATTGTCTTAGGCCTGGAGTTGTGCGTGGGCCCGGGCCCAGACCACATGGACTGGGAGTGGGCTGGGACGTTGGAGGCTGTTTGTCAGAAGCAGGGGAATGGGTGTCGAGAGAATCACCATGCTGTGCAGCTTCTCTGAGCCTCTTTTTCTCCTCTTTATTTTTATTTTTATGCCATATTTGCACCATTTTTTTAAAAAAGATTTTATTTATTTTTAGAGAGAGAAGGGAGGGAGATAGAG